GCCCTTGTGGTCTCTTTCAACTCTATGATTCTATGATTCTATGAGAAATTCAGTGGGTGGACTAATCAGTTCTCTAGAACTCCAAGGTTATCTTTCTCCAATCAATCTTCACTTTTCATTTTGAAGGAACAGAAGTGGAAGATATTCAACAGTGGATGTATGCACACTGCACATTTATAGCAGCCTGATCCCATTTTAACTGCCATGGGTCTTTCTTTCAGAATCCTTGGATTTGCAGTTCCGCAACCTTAGACCTTTGTAGTCCATATTCCTGAACAACAGCATTAAAATACTCTGGTAGAGAATTGTAAGAACCTCATGAAATGACAACTCCCAGGATACTATAGCAGGGGTAGGCAACCTAAGGCCCAGTGGGCCGGATGCGGCTTCTTGAGGCCTTTGGACCGGCCCCAGACCGGTCCTGCCGCCGCCATCGCCGCTGCCCACTATGATGATGTTGATTATTGTTGTTATTACTTGTTCTTGGGGTTTTCTTGGCAAAATTTCCACAGAGGTTTTGTCATGGCTTTTCTGGAGCTGAGAGAGTGTGCATGCATATTTTAAAAAATGTTTTAATTTTTTTTAATTTGTTATTTTTATTTTTATTTTATTTATTTTTGGTGCTTCGGCCCCCCCAATTGTCTGAGGGACAGCAACCTGGCCCCTGGCTCAAAAAGGTTGCCTACCCCTGTACTATAGGATGAAGCTGTGGCAGTTAAACTGGAATCAAACTGCTGTAACTGTGCATTGTGGATACAAGATCCGACAAGACCCGACTTTTTTACAAAATGGTTCTCTGGATATACACAGATCCTTTGCAACACTTATGCATCACCCCTACAGAAGCAAGCAGATAATAGCACTGGCTTTTTAACAGTTGGTGCAATCATGGGACATTGCAAAAACCACGAGAAGAAAGCCTTTTCCCTATAGTAGCTTGCACTATAGAGTTTATATTGCTGAAGATTACAAAATGGTGTTTGCAAAGACAACTACTGGTAAGATCAGCAGCATCTTTATAGCTTCTTTATAACTGATAGTTTTTGCTGTATGGAAACACTGCATAGGTATATGTTCCTTTTTATCTACATCTGGTATGATTAGATGGGTGGATGTATGGCTTTTGCTTCACATAAAGACAATTGCAAAAGAGATTATTAGTATTAAATGGAACCACAATCTACTTGAGAAGTACAGAAACTGGGTTCACAATAAGACTGTCATGGATATGAAATAACTATATAGCATTTCATATATGGCTGAGGCTCATCATGCATCTGAGGAATTAGATTATAATCTGCAAAAATTCATGCCAAAATACATCTGTTTATTTTAAAGGTCCCATAAACTCTTTTTTTCTTTATACTAATCATTACATTGGTGGATCGATACCTTACTTTCCCAGAGGCTTCTCAGTATAAGAGAAACAGTATCTGGTTTTGGACCACACCTCCATCTGAGCAATAGAACCAATTATATAAACATGACAAATTTAATGAGAATTGATGAGTAAAAAAAATATTCAAGAGATACTGCAACTATATGGATTGCAAAATATGCAAGGCCTGCCAATGGATTTTGCAAAGCTCTGGGCTAGAAATCAGGCCTTCTAGCAGTTGATGTTCTGAAATATGCCCCATGGGAAGATGATGGGTGGCTCAAGGATCAAAAGCTGAGACTAGTGAATATGTTCTCAGCAGAAGATCCTTGTTTACAAGAAGGTTGGGAACTGCTGTCACTGAAGGACAGCAAAAGTTAGCATACCTGAGTAAGAAAGAACTGCTCTGCACCAGAAAATGAATAAGCACAGAAGGCCATATGTTTCAGGACAAGAAGAGTCTGCCAAGTCCCACAACAAGCCAGTTGAACAAATTCCCTTGAGACTTGTCGGTTTTGAGTTTTCAAAGAGACACCATACTTGTGCCATACTTGAGCCCTGATGGCGCAGTGGTTAAATGCCTGTACCGCAGCCACTCACTCATAAACTACAAGTTTGCAAGTTCAATACTAGCCAGGGCTCAGGCTAGACTCAGGCCTGCATCCTTCCGAGGTCGCTAAAACGAGTACCCAACTGTTGGGGGGCAATGGGCTTACAGTTGTAAACCCCTTAGACACCCCATAGTATGAAGCGGTATATAAATGAAGCTGCTATATAAATGAAGCTGCTTTGATATGAACTAATGGAGAATCCAGCTCATATATGCAGCCAGATTCATAGGTACACCATCATTATGTTGAAATTTCATATTTGGTCCTATTTAATGGTGCTCTATATCAAACTGCTACAGCAGGGGTAGGCAACTGTGGGCCTCCAGTTGTACAACTACAACTCCTTGGCCACCACTGAATGGAAAAGTCTGTATGAGTTGCACTCCAGTAATATTTGGAGGACCACAGTTACCCACCACTGTTCTAGTGCATTCTGTTCCAGAGATGGCCATCAGTGATGTCTGATGCAGTCACTGAGGTGATAATTTACTCCTTTGACTTGACATGGGCTATGACTGTGATACATTCCATTCATGGCCATTTTGTATGTTCTTTGGTAGCTAAAGCTTGACAACCACTGCAGTAGATTCAGGAGATACAAACTGAATCAATAGTCATCAAACTTCCTTTTATTAGAGGTGAAGCTTTTTGAACTCAAAGGAGTCTCTGCTTGTACCAATAAAGAAGGAAAATGTATTGCTTTACTTCATGTATTTGTGTTCCCAGATGCTTCATGACCAACAAGGGGTGCAGCATGCCACCTTCAACAACCCTTCTTCCAAGACCATCTTAAAAACACCTGTAACATATCAAGAAAGATGCAGCTCTGCAATTCTCCATCATTACATTTTTTCCTCCAAAAATGATTTTTAATATTTCTGCCTGATAAAGAAGGATGTGAACTTCAAAAGCTTGCATAATATATGTTGAGCTTTTGGTAGGCTTAATAATAATGTCACCATAATATGCTTAGCTAACATAGCTACTCCTGGGTATATATCTTTAGATTCTTACAGATTTTTCTCTAAGAACTCTGGTTTATGCTCATAGCTGTCCTTCATTCATACATACATGCACACACACATACATGTGTGTGGTTTGCACACACATATTTTATTTATTTATTTCAATGCAGAGTTCTAGGAGCAGCTCTATATGTGCTATGAACAGAGACTACCCTCCAATAGTCCATAGGTGTTCTTTTCTCTTGGCTAAGGATAACATTTGCCTTATATGATGCAGAATGTTATAAATAATGCAGATGTGCAACCAATCATCCTTAACCATGCCTTGCAGCAGAATCTTCTTAGCCAATGAAATCAGAAGGAG